GAACTTCGTTCGTTGGGATAATAATGTAGATATCAAGGAAAACTGACATTATTTTTTCACTTTGAACACAAATAAAGAATTCTTAGGAAATTGTGCCATGGCCCCTTTCTAATTTTTTTGCAAAGCCAGTTTACCATCAGCAAGTAGAATTCTTTGTATGGCTAAGATAAAGCATCAATTGATTTAATTTTATGAAACATACTCTAAATAAATTTTCTAAAATGTTCTCATCCTGACTGTCATAAAAATATTATGTGTTTTGTGTCAAGGTATCTCTTAGATTTTTAAGAAAATACAATCTTTTTTAACAAATGATTTCTGTTACCATAACAACCAGCAGACCAACAATAGTGAAACTTCCCATGATGGTTAAACATCATAACTATACTAATATCTGTTAATATCAGAATGAATAGTCATATATTTATTCACAAACTTGGGTACAAATAAAGTTTTCTTGGGAAAAGTGCCACGCCCCCTTTTACACATTTTTTGCATAGCCATATTATCATCGGCAAATATAATTAATTGTATGGCTAAAATAAAACATCAATTGATTTAGTATTATCAACCATACTCTAAATAAGTTTTCTAATATGTTTTCATGCTAATTCCTCCCAATTCCAGGAAAATATTATGTGCTTTGTCTCAGGGTAGGTCTTAAATTTTTACGAAAATGTGTACTTTTTTAACAAGTGATTTCTGTTACCATAGCAACCAGTTAACCAATATTGATGAAACTGTTCACAATGATAGGACATGATAAGAAGATGATTACCTGTAAATTTCAAGATGATTGGTTGGATACTCTAGGAATTATACATGGCTTTCCTAGGACCCCTCTTAAAATAACACCAGGGGGGTATAAATCTGCATATTTCCAAAACGCTGAAAAACTAGACACCAATAGTTTCAGAATCAATGTAGAATAATAAACCACAAAAAACCTACATAAAGAGAAATTTGCTACTTTTCAAAACCACTTTTACATTATGCTCATCCAGTAGTATAAAGTGGTGGTGTAACTGGGATTTACCAACATTTCAGACATTTGGATCAACACCAGCGTGTGTGACAAAGAGACAACAATTAATTAGCAAAAGCAGTTTAAATACTCACTCCGAGATGCAGCACGTTACATTGATACTTGTTCTCTTTGCAGTAGGATCATCAGCCGTGGGTATGTTTGGATAATCAGTTTTAATTTCTATATTCTTCAACATGTCTTTATAATGACTTTAGTTCTATGATTGAGATGTCCCTTTGTATTGCAGACTCGAATTGTGATATGTGTCAGCTTCAGCCCTTTGCAATTTAGGGAGTTTCAACCATGTAATTTTAAAACATCAAAACAATAGGGGCCACACATATAGTTTGGTAGAAAGCCAAACTATAACAAAGAACGGAGATCATAACAATATGGATCACCACTTTTGGCGGTAACATAATGAAAACCAAAATATTAAATCTTCACCTATGTCTGTATGTCGAGGAAATAAAGACACTAAACTGAACTGAACTGAACTGTCGATGAAATATGAAAAGAATGTAGACATTTTTTATACTTGTTTATTCACCTTCTTTTTTAATAAACTGCAACACTAAATGAGGTAATGTAAATAACCTCTGATAACCACTTTAAGCTTCAAATGAAACGATTATCTTGAAATGCGGATTGTTAACAGGTAGACTGTAAATCTAGTAAATTTTCGCTGAATTTTCTCGTTTTTTATACAATTTACCAAACAAATCTTCTCACAAGTCTTTTCTTGGTACATACGTGCACTCTTTGTGCAAACCTGGAAGATGTAGATATTGTGGGGAAGGAGTGATTGTTGTTTGAAAAATAACATGTGACTCAATTGAGGAATGCAGCAAAATTCCGAACATGCATCCTGGCCTTAACTAGAATAAACCATGTTCAATACACACGTCTATGTAAATTTGAGCAAATAAATGTTGTATTATAATACTTAAAAAATAAACTTTTAAAATAAAATGTGGATTAAAAAATTCGTGCGTATTCAATGGTTGACCTTTGGTCGTCCTTTCATTCATCTCTTTCTCGAGCAATGGTTTATGTGAGTGAATTTTGAAATCTTAAAAGTGACAAAAGCGACCCCACTACCCCCTCTTGGGGAGCCTTTTAAAAATTTGGAATGAGATGTATTATGTAACGTGCATCAAGCCTTTGTCAGCTTATACCGAAAGTTAAACAAATTGGTTTAAAGTGTCCGATAAAGTATAAAATGCGCATGCGTCCAGGTGTTGATAAACTATAAATAGCGAAAATCCAGGGTTTGTCACCATAAGGTAAGCCAGGACGTGTTGAGAGAACAGCTAGTGTTGATATTGAATTTATATGTAGCCAGATAAGTTTCCTTATTGAAATTACATATGGTTATTAGCAATACTTTGTAGGTGCTAAATAATAAAATATTTAGAGTATATATGAGAGAAATTGGTCATTTCGAACCTGTTGAAAAGTTTGTGGCTCTCGGCTACACCGGGGAATTTACTTCCATGAGTACACACATAAATGTGGGGTTCCCCAAGAGGTACGCGGCAAGGTGACCTGGCATCAAATGTGCGACTAAATGCTACTATCGAGAAGATAAAATAACGAATACGACAATAAGTTATTACATGTGACAATTCCGAGCCTTCATCTCACTGAAGTATTTTGAAGTGAAAATAGGATTTTTGTTTTGATACATGGATTCAGATGAACGTAACTTTATTCTGACAACTAATCAAAACTGAACAAAATTGATTGTACGTAACAGACAATTTATTGTTTTACAATGTTTTGATTGCCTAAACGAATGAAACCAACAAATTATGACATGTAAAATGACAATTTTGAAATGTAAAATTTAAAAGTGACAAACACAACCTCCCTATCCAATCTTTGGGAGCCCTAGTAAATTAGTAATATGTACATGCAGCAGTGGTAGTGTGCAGCTTATTATCACACTACGCTTTGTATTCTAAAGCCTGTTGTTTGTAATAACACTGTTCACTCAACGTATGTTTTGTGTGTGGGCAGTCAACGATAATCATTTTTTTATCCCGGTTATATGACCTCGGCAATTATAACAAAACCGTACTAAACGAAAAAACGCAAATAAGAGAAAGCTTTCACACACATATAAAAAATGAACTAGTCTAATCCGCCAGTATAAACTCTGTGCTATACGTAGCCGGGTCAGGCGCACACTTTAAGAGTCAATTTTCAACGTGATTCTAAGCGACAGGTTAGCCGATTGCACAAGTTGCTCATATGATATATAAATGAAGACTGATCCTTGAATATGCATGACTGGGTGTAAACTGGTAAACTGGTATGTACACGTGAATGCAAACATTTGCATTCGTTTCACTTCATAAAAGAGTAACTACAAGTACATGTAGAATTAAGTTAAGAATTATACTACTTTCAGGATTTTTAACCAAGATGTAAATGCGCCCAGAGAGAGGGAAGAGATAAGTTCCAATCTGAATGCCATACGACATTTTTGTGAAAGGTAAGTTAAAAACTTGGGTCATCACTGAACCAACCAAAATGGTAATATACCACTAAATGATGGTACTATCTTGACCCCATTCGCAATAACATTCAGATCTACAGGATGTTCAATAAGTATTGCTAATTTTGCTATACTTTTGTTCTCTAGATTCTTTCTTCAGGAAATTTTCACAACATAAGTAACACATATCTGACCTTATTCTATTTCCGGACTATGAACTTAATTTTGACAAAGTTATGGTTACTATGGTAGTCATTGTCATGGGTATGGGAGGCACAGTTCTAACATCACTTTTGAAAGACATTTTGAGTGTTGAAGCAGTTTCATATTACTGTTTAAGGATTGGGTTTGCAGTGAAGTTACAAATAATCCATTCAATAGTCACTTCCCGATCCACATTAACTTCACAGGCCCTTAACCAGGAGGGGGGGGGGATTCGGGGGTTGAACCAACCACCCCCACCTGACCAAAAATTCTTTCAAAATCATACAGTTTTTCACCATTCCGAGCACTTTTCAAGTGATTTTGGGCCAAAGTTGTGAATTGTGAACCCCCTGGAATTTTTTGAAAAGTGAACGTCCCCTTGGCAAAAGCTGGTTATAGTATGGGGCTGAGTTCGGCGATGTACTCAAAGTAGGCACCCTTAGCATCAATGCACACTTATTGCCTGAAGACCCCTCATAGTACACATTCTTGAAGTCATCCTCACTGGTGATCCACTCGATTACGCTGGTTACCGAAACGGTTCGTTTTGGTAACAAAATGTCGGAACGTCGAAGGTACGATTTTTCTTTTTTCCTTATTTCACGCGTTGTAGTCAGAATCCCAACGACGTTTTTTCTCACAAACGTGTATCAGCATCAAATGTTTTAGAAAATGTATATGTTTGCGAAAAAATAGCTCAGAAGACAACAGAATCGTCGATTTTATTACTCACTTAAGTTACATAAACGGTTTTGGTTAAAAGTGCAGATAAGTGAGGAATTAAATCGACGATTCTTTTGTCTTATGAACTATTTGTTCGCAAATATGTACATTTTCCTAAACATGTGATAGTGATACAGGTTTGTATTAAAAATGTCGTGGGAATTCTGCCTACAACGTGTGAAATAAGGAAAAAAGAAAAATCGTACCTTCGACGTTCCGACATTTTGTTACCAAAACGAACCGTTTTGGTAACCAGCGTAATCGAGTGGATCACCAGTGATCCTTGAAGTTTGTTGGTAGGGAGGTGTTCACTATCTGCTAATTGAGATTCTGGTTGTATATTCGTCTCAGATGTACTATACACATTGTGATGTCTTAGCTCTTATTTAATACATAATACAAACTGACAACCTCAAAATACCATATCAAGAGCTTTTATTAATCCAAAGGTTAATTAATCCAAGATTATTTGATGTATAAGAATGATTCATCATGAGAAGTTTGCAAACCCTCAAGGTTGTCCCGTATACCCATGACACTGGTTGCCATGTGACAATAACTTTGTCAATACTTAAATGATTGTCAAGAAATTTTAATAGAATAACGTCAGATATAATGTGTCTTATGTTTTTAAGTTCCATGAAGATGAAAGCAAGATAACAAAACTTACAGCAAAATTAATATTAGCAATACTTATTGAACGCGCTGTAATCGTGAAGGGTGATTCGTATTTCTAACCAATAATTTGCATTAATCAATTGAGCAAGTTTTTGTATCCCACTCTATTATAGTTCAATTTAATTTCAGATTTTAGCGCGGATTATAGACATAGGACCCACGCAACTGTGATCGTGCACCTGTATTAAACATTTAATTAATTAGGAACCAAGCAAGTGGATTTGTGTGACTGCTAGTTGTCATAGATATAGGACCCATGGAACTGTGACCATACGCCTGTATTAAACATTTAGGAACCAAGCAAGTGGATTTGTGTGACTGCTAGTAAATTATAGATCCAAGCAGGACCCAAGCAATGGTGATCGTGCACTTGTGTTAAATATCTAGAAACCAAGCAAGTGGATTTGTGTGGCTGTTAGTACATTATAGAAATTGGACCCAAGCAACTGTTATCGTGCCCCTGTATTAAACATTTAGGAACCAAGCAAATGGATTTATGCGACTGCTAGTATATTATAGATATAGGACCCAAGCAACTGCTTGGAAACCAGTTTGTTTCCCGTTCAATTTGTAGCAACGCATCGCTTATGTTTATTTGAAAATTATAGATATAGGACTCGAGCAAGTGTGATCGTGCATCTCTGTTATACATTTAGGAACGAAGCAAGTGGATTTGTGTAACTGCATTCAGAAATGGAGGCGAATAACCAAGGAACCGATAGGAACCACAAACAAAAACTAGAAAATAATTTTGAATGTGATATTTGTGACAAAACATTCGCACGTTCATCTTTTCTTAAAGTGCATTATAAAGTACATACCGGAGAAAATGGATTTAAATGTGATGTTTGTTTCAAAACATTTGCATGTAAACCTGATATTCAATGCCACTATAATATACATTTAAGATCGAGTAGTGAAGATAAAGCCTACACATGTCATATTTGTTCAAAACGATTTACATCAACTACTTATCTAAAAAAACATTATAAAATACATATTGGGAGAAAAAATAACTTTAAATGCGATATTTGTCCGAAAGAATTTTCAACGAATTCGAAACTCCGAGAACATAAGGAACGACATGCTGGACAACGAGATTTCAAATGTGATATTTGTTTTAAAACGTTTGTTTGCAAAAAGGATCTTAAATCTCATTATTTACGACATGAAGCAAGTGCAGCCCCTAAAGACTACGAATGTGATATTTGTTCTAAAAGATTCGCATTCAAATATTATTTAAAAACTCATTATATAATACATTCTGGGAGAAAAGACTTTAAATGTGAAGTTTGTTCTAAATTGTTTTTACGACGTTCTGGCCTAAAACAACATAATAGACTTCACACTGGACAAAAGGGTTTCAAGTGTAAAGTTTGCGCCAAAGCATTTAGACATTATGGTACTCTTAAAATACATTATAAAACACACACTGGAGAAAAGGGATACAAATGTGATGTTTGTTCTAAAGAATTTTCACAGGGATCTCATCTCAAAGCACATCGATTGATACATTTTGGAAAAATGGATTTCAAATGTGATGTTTGTTCGAAAACATTTTTACGAAAATGTGGACTAAAATCACATAGTAAAATACATATTGAAAGGAAAGACTACAAATGTGATATCTGTTCTAGAACATTTAGCACAAAACGCAATCTAAAAAAGCATTCCATCATACATTCTGGACAAAGAGATTTTAAATGTGACACTTGTTTTAAATCATATTTTCACAAGTCGGCACTTGAATCACATTACAAAATGCATACTGAATTACGAAAATCGTTCAAGTGTGATTTTTGCCCAAAAGCATATTCGTACAAAAAGAGTCTTCTTTGTCACATTCAATATCATACAGGGGGTGTAAAGAAGGACTTCAAATGTAATAAGTGTCCTAAAACATATGCTACAAGTTTTCAACTCAAAAGTCATGATAAAATACACACCGGAGAAAGAAATTTTAAGTGTGATATCTGTCAAAAATCATTCGCAGAGAAGATCAATCTAAGATTACATCTTATAGTACATACTGGTGGTGAAAAGAATTTCAAATGTGATGTTTGTTCCAAAGCATTTTTACGAAATGGTGGCCTTCAAACACACTATAAAATACACACTGGAGAAAAAAACTACAAATGTGATATTTGCTCCAAAGCATTTAGAAATAGTGGTAGTCTTAGAAGTCATAATAAAATACACACCGGAGAAAAGGATTACAAATGTGAAGTATGTCAAAAATCATTTACAGAGAATGGAAATCTAAAACGTCATCTTAAAACACATACTGGCGAAAAAGATTACAAATGTGAAGTATGTCAAAAATCATTTACAGAGAATGGAAATCTAAAACGTCATCTTAAAACACATACTGGCGAAAAAGATTACAAATGTGAAGTATGTCAAAAATCATTTACAGAGAATGGAAATCTAAAACGTCATCTTAAAAAACATACTGGCGAAAATAATTTCAAATGTTCTAAACCATTTTCAGTGAATACCAAAACACGTGAAGGACAAACTGGATTGAGATGTTTCGTCCTGCTAAAACGTTTGCCAGAACATCTATCAGTCTATCTATACAACACGGCTTAGGCTTGAAATGATGTTCAGTTTATTGTATTTGCGCCGAAGCATTTATAAGCAGCGACAATAATACGCACTGGAAAAAATATTACAAATGTGATATCGTCAAAAATTATTTACACGGAATGAACATCTTAAAGTACAAACTGGAGTAAATAATTTCAAATGTTCTCAGGTAATTTAGAGACAATCTTCGAAGACATGATGAAACACATGAAAACCTGAAATTGAATGTTTCATTCTTCTAAAATATTCGCCTGAGTATGTGTCCATGCCTCACTGCTTATAGGCTTGAAATGATGATGTTCAATTAAAAATCTATAATTCTAGAATATAATGATTAGTTGTATATTGTGCATTGGCACGTTATCTACTTTGAAGGGATGTAGAAGGGATAGAGATGAGAGTAAGTCACATTTTACAATATCTTTTACTTTCATTACTCCATCTCATGTCTATTTTCTAAAACGTCCAAAAATTCCGACTAAAATAATCTTTATATTTAAGGACATTTGGCCAAAATTGACAAAGGAACGCCCAACTTCAACTCTAATGAACGTAGATGTTGTTGCATTTTAAAACTTCACCAATTTCTATATTTTATCAGATATTTCAATGTATGATATGCCATAAAATTATAGCTAATTGATTGTGAAATAAAATGTAATCAATAGAAACAACAACAAAAATTTCTAGCGATCATGTAATAACAGAAATTATCTTGTCCTTTCATTTATACCCGGACATCATTACTAGAAAATCCAGGTCATTTCAAAACTTGAAAATATAAACCTATTACATTGTTTGTAGTGCCACAGGCTGGTATCGAAAGATTTGTCCGCTGTGACGGAGCATGCTGTTTTTCGTAAAAACACTAAAGAATGCTTCACGATTTATTTTTTAACTCATATGTTTCGACATATCAAATATAATTACTTACTCCATGGAATGGATATATCATTTGCGTGCAACCTTCACTTCTGTTTGTAGTCCAGTAACGCTAGGAGTAAAATCTATTGAAAACGGCGCCAGAGTATCAAACTCTAAAATGTACCATTTCTTTTTTAACTTTTTAATGGCATGATATAATGACACGATAATATTAACATATGTTTTCAGCATAAATCTGAATGTATTAATGAGATATTAATGCATTGGGTCTTTTTAATTTTTTTTATAAAAAATAATATTAATATTTTTTGTCCGCTGTGACGGAGCATTTTCACAGTTCACATTTGCAACTGCTCCGTCACAGCGGACAAAAAACATTATTTTTTATAAAAGAATTTAAAAGACCAAATACATCAACATCTCATTTATACCTTCATAGTTATGCTGAAACCATGTGTAAATATTATCGTGTCACTATATCGTGCCATTAGAAAGTTAAACAAGAAATGGTACATTTTGAAGTATGATACTCCGGCGCCATTTTCAATAGCTTTTCTTCCCAGCGTAATTGGACTTCAAACAGAACTGAAAGTTACCCGCAAATGATATATCCATTGCATGGCGTAAGTAATTGTGTATGGTATAACGAAACATATGAGTTAAAAAATAAATCGTGAAGTATTCTTAGTGTTTTTATGAAAAATAGCATGCTCCGTCACAGCGGACCAATATTTCGATACCAGCCTGTGAGTGCAAACAATTTCTTTAAGTACAGCTCTACAATAAACATTATATCACAGTCGAGTTTGAGATGTTTCACTGATATATCGTGGTCACCTTATGAGCATTTGTCAAAAATATCACGAGTCAGTCCTTCTCGCAGGTATATATGTACATGACATATACATGTACTGTACATGTAGATACATGTACTCAGCCCATGTGATTTTTGCAGGGTATGAATTATTCTCATGAAATGTGTGTCCATTTTTGGCATGTATAAACACAATTATTATTATTCTACGTAAGTGTTGTGTTACCATTTGACAACTCATTAAATATGGCACTACTAGTACATGATAGCTTTACTTAGTACCACCATGGGCTTTCAAAGCCCATGGTACCACCATCAAGTACAATTATTATTACTTTACAATATCAAAGGTCACACCCATTAAGTTATTCTTTGATAATTTAATAAAATATGGGGCTGCTGGTAGTTCATTTTCTACACTATAGATGGCACACTTTTTAAACAGACATGGCGTTTCCCGCCATTCATATCTTATTGAGGAAACAATTGTATTTTGGCAAGTTTTGTAAGTAAGTGTAACCGTGTTGTTATCATATTTGGAAACGGGTGCAGGTTGCCACTTGTTAGAAGAATTCCTACATTCTGGGTCATTGAAACTGGAGCAGCAAACCTGAAAACAGAAATTAATATTCATGAATGTGTAAATGTACAGAAGAACGTGGACTTTTAAACGAAAGCCTAAGAGAAGAATAAAACACTTCTGAAATAGGCCTAAATTAAATGCAGAATTTTCATAAGAATGTATTTGGTGAGAATGTATCCAGCTCAACCATTGCCTTGGTATAAATTCTGTTTTAGAAATGGTTGAACAAAACACCTAAACCTAAAATAAATTAATTATAAAAGATTGTTTTTTAAATAAATTACAGATATTCTTCATTGACATACATGGTACATGCAAAATGGGATAGAACTGTTTCCCCAAATCCCAAAATGGCGCATGTACAATATTTACACAGGGAGATATGCTGAGTACTAAATTAGTACAAAATTAGTACTAAACTAGCACTCGTGCCATGAGTACTCATGAGTGCACTTTTGCCAGAGTGCTAATTTATTACTACTTGAGTGCTATTTTAGTACTAATTTTGTGATAAATAAGGGTTTATTTTAGTACCGTTTTAGTAACAATATTTTAAGTAATGATTTAGTACTAATTGAGTGCTAATGTAGTACTAAAAAATTGCTCATTTAGCGCTAAAATATTATTCATTTACTAAATAATAAGCACTCAGTGGGTATCATTCTAGTTCGGACACAATTCACATGCTACCCTCAATTTTGTTATTTAGACTTACTCCCATGTCAGCTTATAATTGTAACTCATATAGAACTCACTTACCTTGTAATTTTAGTAACTTCTCATTCAATACAACTTACCTCTTCTTTCACTTATTCTTACTAACAAATCAATGTATATATATATGCACTTTTCTCAAGAATGGAACAGTATGGTGTCTGTCATTTTGTTTCCTAGCTTCAACGCGTTACATGAAATAGCTACAGGAATGGGAATTTTTGGAAAAGCTTCATAATATATTTATCCATGTTTTCGAATAATAAATAAAAATAAAATGTAATTTATTACGTATTCTATATTTCATTTCATCATTTTAAAAAAAAATTATCAACATTTTAATCTTTGAGTACTATACTATCACTTGTGAAACATGAGCAATAAATTAGTACTCATAATATGAGCACTCATTGAGTAATGAAAAATCAATGAAATTAGCGCTATTTTATCACTCATCATATGAGTACTCATTTAGTACTAAAACATGCAATTAATTAGTGCTCATAGTATGAGTGCTCATTGAGTAATAAAAAATCAATGAAATTAGCGCTATTTAATCACTCATCATATGAGTACTCATTTAGTACTAAAACATGCAATAAATCAGTACTCATGTCATAAGTGCTCATTTAGTACTAATATTTGCTGAAATGAATACTCAATAAGCGCTAAAATGCCATGAGTACTATTTTAGTACTCGCCCTGCATATCTCCCTGTGTATGATATGTAAACCAGAATACCTCAAATCCATCCACACTGCGTACTGTAATAGGATGTTTTCCATTATCAAACGAGAGCACCATAGTCTTTTCTGCTATGTATTCAGTTATATGTGTGACCATAGGACCTTGAAACTTCAGGCCTTGTTCCCCATATGCTACTGCTCTACCAGATAGAGACAACCTCAAGCCAACATCCTCCTTATCTCTGGGATGTATCCTAAAATATAAAAAATATAAAAAGTATGAAAACTGTGTACTAGTATGTGTTGTCTGTCTCCAAACTGAAGCAAAATTCATGCTTCTAAATATAACTTTATCTAACATATTATATTTAAATGTGTAATGTAAACTGCAATTTTTGTATTAAGAGAAATAAAAGAGGCTCTTCAAATAAACCATTTGAAGTATATTTCCTAAAAAGTGACATCACTGCTTTTAAATTATCAAAACAAGCGTCTGTAAATAATAAAAGGAATACTTTTGTCTCTCCTACAATGAATCTAGCTTCCTCATCTGTTTTAAAAATACATGTATTACTCTTTCTGTATTCTTTGACAACACTTACGGTCCAGATGGAGCATTATCATCCCTAAGGTCCATAGCTTCTCCCATGAAGATATTTTTCAGTCTTGGATTTGGCACATATCCATAATCCGCAGTCTGATGCCAACGAATGTCAGGAAATCCAACTGAGAAATTGCCAACTGACCAAGGTCTGCTTGGGCCAAGCTGTAAAAAAAGAAGGATATTCTAAATGTAAAATATTAAACATTGGGCTGTGTATTGTGCATAATGGAAATTAAAAGAAAATGACTAAAGAGGTGCTTCTCAGATGTAACCCCTACATGTACTTGGCTTTTTCATGTTAACTTCTACATACAGTTACAGTTAAACATGTCTTAGTGATCACCTCTCTCTAGTAAACACCTGTGTCTAGTGAACGCCTCTTCTAAGCATATACTCCACTAACTCTTGTATAAAACCGCCTCTATAGTGAGCACCTACTTATAGTGAACATATTTTTGTGGCTCTGTATGTGTTCACTGTACACAGGTTTTACTGGAAATGAGATATTGTTTGCATCCATGTAGTGAAAACTTTTATGGATTCGAAACAGCATTATTCAAAACAAATACACAAATTAGCTGACAAACCTGGACAAATCCAAAAGGAAACAATGGGTCCGTTATACGGTGTGTCCCAGCATAGAACCATCCCCTCCAGTCATCAATCATAGCAGGAAATGTGCAGTTGTAATTATCTGGGCGCTTTGCATTTGCTTCTCCTTAAAATATACAATAAAGTATTTCACTAATTTATGTTCTACCTGTGAATTAAAGAGAGAATCAGATATAGCGAGCAGGCTAAACAAAAAATTGTTTCAATTTTAGAACATTTTTGGCTCCTGTCATTCCTTGTCATGTCTATTTTCTAAAAATCACAAAAGTGCATACTTTATTCCAGGAAAACTTAAGATTTTTACAACAATGTATTATTTTCTATAAGAATGGTTACCACTTTTATTATTTGGGAGAATTTAAACATTTTTCACTCATTTTTGCACTTTGAATCATTAATAACTTCACCAATTTATAACATATTGTGAATATTTTGGGAGATATTGTATTTGATAGTGTAAGGAATAGATTGGTAGGTCAATTATACATGTTGCTTTTAATTTTGTCACCCCTATAGATCAGATTCTGCCTTTAAATTGTTCTACACAAAATACCTATAAATGGAATTTAATTTAATGAACCATATAAATAAATATTGTACAGTATTAATAAAAAACATTTTATATGAAGGACTTTAATGATGTTTTCCACCTGCTAGGCAATTCACACTATGGAGGAGGACTGTATCAACATAATGCAAGGTCCCTAAGAACCTGATAAATAAGGATAACCTTTCTTCTCCAGTATGGTACTTTACCTTGATACCATATTGTTCCATAAATGGTCATGTTTATAAAGGGGTGCACCATTGAATTCCATAAGTGGGAGGGGGTTGTGGGAACATATTTCCTTGACATACTCCCAAAATCAATCTCCAATGGAATTCTGAAATAAATGAATAAAGGTACATTTTCTTTTCTTTAGTTAACATGAATAGATTTACTATTCATGAAATGAAAAGAGACTAAATGTACATGTACAAGAGTCTGCTGAATTCTTTTTTTTTGGATATAAAAATTGAAGGCTTATTTGCAAAATTAGTCTAGTGAAGCATGAAATGGTGTCACATCAGCCTTTAATTGTAATTTGATAAGTTGATAGCTATAAGTGACTTGGCTAACCTGATACCTACATATGTACGAACTATAAAGTTACCAGTTCGTAGTGCCAATCCACAGGCCCGTAGCCAGGATTTGCCAAGGGGGGTTCATTTTTAAAAAATTTTCAGGGGGGGTTCACATTTGACAATTTTGGCCCAAATATGGCTAAAATCACTTGAGAAGTGCTCAAAATGGTGAAAAACTGCATGATTTTGAAAGAATTTTTGGCCAGGGGGGGGGTTTGCCCGAACCCTGCGAACCCCCCCTGGCTACGGGCCTGAATCCATATACCCAAATTAATACCATGGTCTACACTTAACGCATCATCCTTGGTCCAAAGGTATTTCAATTTATTCCATGAGCTGAGACAGTGAATGTCGATCTTGAAGGATGATAACACACATACTTGTATATATCTCGAGTGGGAGACAATACAGTCATACCTATTGTGCAAGTCAATATTGCAGTGGGACAGGGCTAGAGATGAGGACCAGGTCTCAACTGATGTACCACCCCAACATGTCTCTATAAGTCCTACAGGGTAACCCAAGTGATCTTGGATATTACGGCCATACAACCAGCATGTAGCAGAGAATTTAGAGACACTCTCTGGAAATGAGTAGTAGTAGTACACTGTAGTAACCTGGGTAGTAATACTTCTCCTAGAGGCAACTTTGGACAGTTTTTGTGAATAAAATTCATGAAATGATTTTAATCTGATGTTGTTATACTTTTCGAAAATCAGATGGATTGTAGATGTGCACTTCTTTAATCTGAACATATTAACAACTTGGATACCATTTCTGTTTGATTGACTGATTTTCAGGCATGTGTAACACATTTAATGTTCTTCACATGTGTGAACATCTGCTAATCCACACTACACTGATCAGTCTTCTCAGTGGCAATAGGATTGGAGGGTATGAAGATTCATTAGCATTGCATTTAATATTATTCTATGTTACTATTGCTGTAACAGTATTACAAACCAGGTGTTGGTTGACTCCATGGTAACTGGATTCCTTTACCAGGGGCAAGATCAAAGAGGGGTCTAGCTGATTCCACCTCACCAACCTGGAAGATGCGAATCTTGTTCTTGTATGCAGATACATGGGCAAGTTCTTTGGTTGAATTAAACACCTGAAAAAGAGAGAGTAACTAATTTTAATAAGAGACTTTGATAAGAATCAGGGGTCCATTTTTGGAACTGTCAATTTACGATTTAGAGTCCTTGAATGTTCATTTTAAAGTAGACATTGGTTTTCTAAGAATCGGATAGAAAATGACGCTATGCATCTGGGTATGAATAATATAAACACCAGACAATTAGAAAAGAAAACAGGCATTAAATTCATTAAAGTTGAAGAATTTTAGGTACTGTTTGTTAATACAGTAAAACCTGTCTTAGTGAACACCTCTTTCTAGTGAACATGTGTCTCTAGTGGATACCTTTCGGGTATTGTTTTGAGAACAGTTTTGTTAGGATTAAATAACGTGGCCAATGAATCTTTTTAGTGGATGACTTACATAATTCATCTTAAGCGCCATATTGCTTTGACCTGAACACAACCATACGTCTCCAAACAACACATCTTTTATCAGGATTGTTTCATTGAAGTTTGTGCTCACTGTGATGTCATACGGCCCAGGTTGAATGATTGGGTCCAGCACAATCTTCCAGATGAACCTGTCTATAAAAGGTCCTATAAATACATAAAAATACAAGTTACAAAGGAAATTAAGATCAGCATCTCTCTCTTATGGGAATTGACACTCTAATAACTATACCATATCCAAAATAAGTGGTATACTCATACATTTTGATTTTTTTGAAAAAGAATATCATTATTATTCCTAGACTATTTATACATTTCTAATGTAAATCTGATATATTTGTTTATTACAGAAGTACATTTAATTTCAAATTGATAGATGTTATTCAATATTATTATATCACTATACCATACTGTAGATTCTATATTTGCCATAAGGGGAGATTTTCAAAGGATAAATTTCAAAATGTTGAATTGTTGGGCTCCATAAAACAGCATGCATTCTTGATGCTAATTGAACATCATTTTCCCTAAGATTTACCTCTTGTGGTCATTGTAGAATAGATTTTAACATGGTTGCTAACTTTCAGCGTTATTCCCACATATCTGGCCTGGTGGTACCCCCATATAATGGACTGCTTGGGTCCTTTCTGTAACACCATGTGGTCATTGTAGAATGAGGCAAATGAGAATGGTACAACTGAAAACAATAAAAATATGAATGAATCAACCATACCATGTTTCAATAATATCTCAAATTACAAATACTTACTCGAGTCTCTAGCCAAATTACTGTGGCCGAAGAATAAGGTAAACAAGGCATTAACATGACAAAATGTCACCACCTAGTTGCTCACAATATTTGACTTGAATTTCAAACTTGAACTTGAAAAAAGACCTTTTTGACCTTTTTTGACCTTGAGAAGGTCATTGAAGGTCAAATGTCAAATCTAAAGTCATATTTGAATTTCTGAGAACATGTAGATGATTTTGAAAAAAAATTTAGTCAATTTGAAGCAAGATGAAAAAATACCTTTCTGACCTTTTTTGACATTGAGAAGGTCATTGAAGGGCAAATGTCAAATCTAAAGTCAGATTTGAATTTCTGAGAACATGTAGATGATTTTGAAAAAAAAAATTAGTCAATTTGAAGCAAGTTGAAAAAAGACCTTTTTGACCTTTTTTGACTTTGAGAAGGTCATTGAAGGTCAAATGTCAAATCTTAAGTCAAATCTAAAGTCAGATTTGAATTTCTGAGAAGACGTAGATGATTTTGAAAATTTTTTTTAGTCAATTTGAAGCAAGTTGAAAACAGACCTTTTTGACCTTTTTCGACCTTGAGAAGGTCATTGAAGGTCAAATGTCAAATCTTAAGTCAAATCTTAAGTCAGATTTGAATTTCTGAGAACACGTAGATGATTTTGAAAAAAAAATTTAGTCAATTTGAAGCAAGTTGAAAACAGACCTTTTTGACCTTTTTTGACCTTGAGAAGGTCAAATGTCAAATCTCAAGTCAGATTTGAAGGTCAAATGTCAAATCTAAAGTCAGATTTGAATTTCTGAGAACATGTAGATGATTTTGAAAAAAAATTAAGTCAATGTGAAGCAAGTTGAAAAAAGACCTTTTTGACCTTGAGAAGGTCATTGAAGGTCAAATGTCAAATCTAAAGTCAGATTTGAACTTCTGAGAACATGTAGATGATTTAGAAAAAAATTGAAGTCAGTCTAAACAGTATTTGTTAAGTTATAGGAAGTTGTAAGAAATTGTTACAGACACCGGACACCGGACGCCAACCTCCAACCGCCGTCGCAAAAAAATGGAGACCATAACAATATGTCACCACTTTTTGGTGGTGACATAACAAATACGATATAGAAACTCAAACTTAATGAATATACATGTACAGTACATGAAGGTTCAAATACATGTACATGTATGCAACTAATGTAATCTAAGATATACAAATGTCATTCATTACCCCCATCAGAGACATATATGTCTCTGCCCCCATGAATGTGGGGGTGTTTTGCCTTTTTCTTATTCTTATTTTTGACGCGATAGCAAAACTCATAGTCAAAAATTAAAAAAGCAAAACGAACTACAGTAGTCATTCGTGTGCAATATGAATGGATTTTTCTATATATTATTGCACAATAGCTATAGTCTTTAAATTTCTTATATTTTTTGGTTCAACCCACAAGAACCTGTATCAACACCTGACAGTGACATCTATTGGTGACAGAATACTGGAAATATGTACTGTAAGAGATAAAGGGTTATTTCAAGGGTTTGGTCACCAACAGCTGTCACTGACAGGTGTTGATACAGGTTCCTGTGGTTCAATTGGTTGCTTTGAAGCAGTGTAACAGTGAGTGTAAATAATTAAAAAAAGTTCAGGCCGTCCCGGCCCTGTGGAGCCGAGATATATTATTATTCAAACATTCCAAATCCAACAAAACTCAAATACATACCAGGATTTGGCTTATAGTATAAGGTTTTAGGATAGACGTACTTTGTGGACGCAAACACGACTGAAAGGCACAGTATCACAAGTAAAACAAGTTTTAAGATACATGTATTTTTCATGTTTTTGTTTTTGTCCATGAAAATATCGAACGCATATAATGTAATCAATAGACGAACGTGGCGCGTTTCGATATACGCGTTCTCTCAAATATTTAGACTTCATAAACTTAAATAAAAGATTTCGATACTTAGAATTAGGAATGCTTTAAAGTTTATCCCTGAGGCCTTGGTATACGTTATGAAATGTTAAAAAATCCCACAGTGTACTTATGATGGTAATGCCTAGTATATGTGTAAATATACTAACTATCTTAGCTACTTACTCATGCCGTGAAATGAGTGAATAAGATGTAACAAAACAATGTAAAACACAAGAAACTTTATTTTACAGTATACCCGGGCCTCAGGTTTATCCAGTGAAAATTTCATGAAAAATTATTGAGAATTGAAAAAGTTATCAGGAAAAAGAGGCGTAGGCCCTATGACTTGTTCTGTCCCGGCTACTATATACATGTACGTCTTGTATACGTGTACTATCAAGTTGTAAACATAGTCCCAGAGAAATCTTTGAAAATTTCACTAGTGGACTTTTTGAGAAAAGGACACTTTAGTAAAGCCCCTGTGCCCAACTTTAAAATTTAAGGCCCGTTTTTGATAATTTGGCTTATAAAGGCCTGAAAAGGCCAAATTATGCCCAAAAAGGCCCAATTTTTGAGGCCTTAAAAATCATTGGGCCAAAAAAGTTTTGGGTCCTAATTTTTTTCTGGGCCCACAAAGGGGGGCGCCGTGCCCCCCCCCCCCTCCCCCCTGAATCCGCCAGTGAAACCATATTGATAGTTGTATATAATCAATGGGGATTTCCAAAATTCAAACACCAATATGTTTGCCACTAGGCAAAAGAACTGAGAAGAAATGTGATACTTCGGTCAATGAAAAAAGGTGCTTTTTATAGTATGTGCAATTCTAGGGGTTTATAGACTTAATTGACTGCACTGTGAGTGAAATAGCTCTTAATGGAGAATCAATACATATACCTGAAAATATGATCCATTAGTCCTCCCAGATATACTATAGTAATTAACAAATACTAACTGATTTCCCAAACTAGAATATGCAGTCCGAAGTTGCAAACACAATACAATAAAATGCCATGTGTGAACATTTTAGCCACGATTGTTATATAAATAAGCGCCTAGAGCGAATTCAGTATTAGAATAGGTGATAACAACTTGATTCGATTCGGAAATTATTCTTCCATAAGCTTACAGTTAAATGAGCATAAAATTATTTTGTTATTGAAATTTCATTTGACAGGATTTTGAAATAGAAAAAATGTTTTCAGAAAATTTATTCGCAGTCATATGCTTGGTGACGTGCTTATTCGTAACAGAAGCTTCGTATAAACCTGCAGCTGAGTTAAAACGACTGTTTAAAATAGAGAGAAACAAGAAGTTCATACCCGACAACATGATAGGCCTACCCGATTACGGTCATTTGAAATCTATTGAAGCACAATCTGCAACAGAATGCAACATCGAATGTTTGAAAACACCAAAATGTGGACAAACAAATGCCGAGAAGCTAGACGCTAAGATATGGAATTGTGATTTATTTGGGTGGGGCACAGGGCAAACAGAAAGTAGCCTGGATCACCACCATTATACGATGATTGTTAATTGTGAGTATTGCTTCAACAAATTCTCTTTTTTTGTACCGCTTACCGATTAGAGAGGTAACCCTTATGTCTGCAACATTTTTTTTATAACACTTAGTCGCAAGGTGGGGGGGGGGGGCATTTGGACCCCCTTGCGATTCGGGGTAGGGGAGAATAAAAAAAGTATATCTAAAATTTGGAAAAAGGTATCATCATACATGCCCCTCCATAAGTTTGGCAACCTTTTTTCCCCATTGAACTACGTGTTAAAGCCTCTTTACGTTTGAATTTTTATTTACTTAACTGGCGATGAAATAACTTATAATATTGATGGAAAAGTAACTTGACTTTATTTCCAATACCTCCAAATTTTCTCAATTTTTTTCCTCAATTACAATAGGTCGACAATTGATGATAAATGTGATGAATTTTTGAAAATCGTCATTCCCATGTAATCCAATGGGAAATGGAGGGTTCGGGGCAAATCAGAAATCAGGATATCTTTTCAGTAAAAGATTCAGCAAAAATATTTTTATATAGAAAATTGAATTGTCTAACTTTTTTTAACGCTAATTGTTTAGTTTATTTGATGAATATTAAAGTTACAACGCTTCAAACTCATGTTTGAAAATAATTTTTCGCCTCCTGTGTTATTTCAATGGGAGAGGTTTTTTGAAAAACAATTTTGACTTTAAAGCCCTATAACTTTGTTGAACCTGAAGAAACATATCAATTTTTTGTTAAATAAAGTTAGCAAATTCAATTGCCTGCCCAACCCGTATTTTTTGCAAGGACTCGGATGGACTTGATTTTTTATCTGTCAAATGACTTGCGACAAAAAATTCATCAAATTCATCATAAATTTTCGACCTATTGTATTTGAGGGAAAAAAATTGAGAAAATTTGGAGGTATTGGAAGTAAAGTCAAATTACGTTTCCATCGATAGTATAAGTATTTTCATCGCAGGTTAAGTAAATAAAAATCCAAAGGTAAAGAGGCTTTAACACGTAGTTCAATGGGGGAAAAAGGTTGCCAAACTTATGGAGGGGGGTGTAGTTCTGGTACCACAGTGTGCATGAACATTTTGGAATATGCTGAAAAAAATTCGAAGGGATTCATCAAGCAGTTTTTGAAAGAATCCCTTATCTCTAGAAACAAAGTAACAATCAATATTTCAATATATTAATATTATATTATCAAGTTCCAACTATCATAATTTGCCCAAATCACCTTGGTTTTTACTTCAATTGGTGTATTGTATCTGTGGCTCAAGCTAGAAAAATAACGGAGACGCAAAACTTTGCAAAACGTACTCCTTCAGCCGTTTGAGTTGGTCACCAAGGGTCACAGCAGCCCCCACATGACAGCAGCCCCCATAAAATGTTGCCTGTATATTTATCATTTGACCTTGACTGATTCTTGAATTTAAGTGTGCTTGCCGGGCCCACGGCCTTGAAACGTCAAATCCCTGATATTCACCCTTGACTTTTAGATGACCTCGGCCCAAAAAACATTGACCTTGACCTCAGGTAAATACATTCATGCACCTCTGGGTCTCTTTAAAAAACTGAGGAACATGTATCTAATATCACTATAAACTCCGATAGTCCAAGTAAGGAGGCGCGGGTCACCTAATCATGAGTCGCCAAGGGTCACAGTATCCACAGATGGCAGAATTTTTTCTTAGCACTATAAACTCCGATAGTCCAAGTAAGGAGGTGCGGGTCACCTAATCATGAGTCGCCAAGGGTCACAGTATCCACAGATGGCAGAATTTTTTCTTAGGAAATACATAAAGAAATATTTATTTAGGATGTATTTCCTAAGAAAAACTCTGCCATCTGTGATAGTATCCTCCCCCAAATGCTCACGTGATACTGACATTAATTACATACAGTATTGATGAATAAACAACAATGCAAACTGTAATTATATTAATTAATTTTTCGTTTGTCGTTTTTTAAGTTTGTGAAGATGGTTTCATCCACGAATACGATAGCTCAACATATTGTTTTAACCTTGAAAGTCTGGTTTGGGAAGAAGCAGAAGTGAAATGTCTGGAGCATGGTGCAACCCTGGTTGCCATAGAGACTGATGACGAACAGACAGCCTTGGCCAACTACATGTCGAATAATACTGACCTTAAAAGTAAGCTCATGGGTTTCAGTTCGAGAACAAAAATCCAAAAAAGAATTCTTTACAAAGGTGCCATGGTGTCATGTGTGGACCAAGAAGAAATTTTAAGGCTTCAAAAAATTTTGGGGCAAAGAAATGTTTTTTTTTGGCAAATTACCTACAAATGGGCCGGGCCTTAAATTGTGGCAAAATTTTGGGTTTCAGGGGCCCAAATTATTTTCCAAACTCAAACTTGGCCCCCTTGTTTAACTTCTGGGTCCGCCAGTGTAACCTCCGGTCAGTTTGACTAGTTTCACACCGGATCTTGCCTAAAATCTTAGTAAAACGAAAGGCCTAGCCTAAAGTAGCCTACCGATGTGTTACTCACAAGAATTAGTTGTATCATGTCCTTTTTGGGGTTCTATGGGGTTCTTTGATGGTCATGAGGTAAAAGTAATGTACTCAGAGCGTGAGGACCCCCATAGCACAAAAATGTAATCTTGGTTCAAATTTTATATTGTCCCCAGGGATATTTTCAAGATGGCTGCTGAATTTCAAAATGGCCGCTATTTTTCGTAAAAGCGCGTAATCTTTGATAACTCAAATACCACTAGACAGATTTCGTTCAAGTTTTATATGCTGATGCTTAGGGACTATTAAAAGGAGCTTTGTTCAAGAAGACATTTTCAAGATGGCGGCCGAATTTTAAAGTGGCTGCCATTTTTCGTAAAAGAACGTAATGACTCAAATACCAGTAGACAGATTTCATTCAAATTTCATATGCTGATGCCTAGGGACACAGGAGCTCTGCTCGATAAGGAATTTTTAAGATGGCAGCTAGATTTAATAATGGCCGCCATTTTTCTTGTTTTGTTCGGTGGGACTCGCTACTCTAAAAACAGCTTTATCATACTCAAAGCCAATTTAGAGTAGATTGCAAATGTTGTATTGTTTTTCTTATTTGGGTCTCGTAAAATTCAAAGTGGCCACCTTATGTGGGATTTCGCAATAACTTTCCGATTTCAAAGTATGGCTATATTATACTCAAATTGAAGGAAATTTAGTGTAGATCACAAATATAGTATTCTTTTTCTGATTTGTGCCTTAGAAAACTCAAAATGGCTGCCAACAGGAATTTTTCTGACTTGGGCCTCGTAAAATTCAAAATGGCCATTTTACTGTTGGAATTTCGCAATAATCTTCTGATCTCTTCAAAGTATGGCTATATCATACTAAAATTGAAGGAAATATGGGGTAGATCATAATTATGGTATTGTTTTTCTGATTTTTGCTTCAAACAATTCAAAGGAAGAGTAGATGGTAAATATTACATTGTGACAAATACAGATTCATATGTATGTTATAGTGTTCGTTGGGATTTGCTACTCCGTGGAGTTGCACTTTTCTAGTTAAACCATAACTGACCTGACCAATAGTTTTGCATTGCATTATAAGCTCACTTTATAATATGATCCATTGGTTCGACCCGAAAGCCAATCATCCGAATGGGAAACGTCTAAATTCCAATGGCCCGAATCCCATTCCTCCGAATCCAATGGTCACTCTGAGTGTCAATGGTCCGAAATACAGTCAGATCGTCCGAATCCCGATGGTCCGGCTTAATATCAAGATAAAGATGCAAGAAATATGTTCAACATGGAATAAAACGTTGATGTGCGAAACATTACGGTGATGTGTGATTATAAAATAAAATCGAATCCACGTTTAGCCATGTAGGGATACTGGAAATATTACGTTTTAGCTTTCTATTCTTTAAAGCCACTTTATGTCAACGTAAGGCTTTATTTCTGATTGTAGCTCTTGAAATATTTAAATTTGAAACACCAATTGAACTTGTTTATTTCTTGTTTGAATGAAATGCCCATTAAAGCAAAAAACGTCAGATAAAACCCGCAATTTTGAATATTATGGAGAAGATTTTGGGACGTCTGGATAAAAGTGTTTGACGCATTTTAATCTAAAATATGTCACATGAACAAATAGTTTCTCTATATCATAACTTGATTGAGCATGGCCAGTTGAGTAACTATACACATGAAACCACGTTCGTACGACGATCAGGTTATTGTATTGTACAGGGTGTCCATAAAGTCTATTTACAGAGACATATAAAATAGGCAAAGCGAAACATCTCTCCTGTGATTATTTTTAATTCCATTTCTTACAGCTTTACTTGGATTGAAGACACCATTTTAAAACTGAACTCATTTGCTTGTTTTATTACGGATTCTGAAATTTTATTTGAATGCTAAAATTATATGCGATATTTGTTCACCTTAAAAAAGCCTCGTATTTTTCCCTAACACGAACACGTATCACTTAGACCGCGGGTCCGGTTTGACAGTTTCATCGAAGAAAATACTGTGAACACTGTGACAAAGCTGCGAATTGATCTTCAACAGGCACACGAATGAATAAAATATTTGGAGAATCAAAATCATCTTTGGACATTCATGGTACAAGACAAGTTTCAAAGAGAGATAAACACGAACGATTGGGTTTCAGACCAATGTGATCCGGACATTTGGGATTTGGACACTTGTCTTTCGGACCATTGGGTTTCGGACCACTGGGATTCGGACCATTGGGTTTCGGACGATTAGGTTTCAGACCAAAATGGATTCGGACCATTGGGTTTCGGACGATTGGGTTTCAGACCAATGTGATCTGGACATTTGGGATTTGGACATCTTTCCGACCATTGGGTTTCGGACGATTGGGTTTCAGACCAATGTGATCCGGACATTTGGGATTTGGACACTTGTCTTTCGGACCATTGGGTTTCGGACCACTGGGATTCGGACCATTGGGTTTCGGACGATTAGGTTTCAGACCAATAGGATTCGGACCATTGGGTTTCGGACGATTGGGTTTCAGACCAATGTGATCGGGACATTTGGGATTTGGACACTTGTCTTTCGGACCATTGGGTTTCGGACGATTGGGTTTCAGACCAATGTGATTCGGACATTTGGGATTTGGACACTTGTCTTTCGGACCATTGGGTTTCGGACCACTGGGATTCGGACCATTGGGTTTCGGACGATTAGGTTTCAGACCAATAGGATTCGGACCATTGGGTTTCAGACCAATGTGATCTGGACATTTGGGATTTGGACACTTGTCTTTCGGACCATTGGGTTTCGGACCACTGGGATTCGGACCATTGGGTTTCGGACGATTAGGTTTCAAACCAATGGGATTCGGACCATTGGGTTTCGGACGATTGGGTTTCAGACCAATGTGATCCGGACATTTTGGATTTTTACACTTGTCTTTCGGACCATTGGGTTTTGGACAATTGAAAAACGGACCAATGGCGTGTCCTTAGCTTTATATCGAATACTATTTTTTTATTTACTGAAATTAAAAAGTTATCTTGTGTCTTTTTATTGTTTCTTACAGATCAAGGGTTTCACATTGGTCTTAATGATAGAAATACATTAGAGGAATATGTCTGGACCGGATCACTGGCATTGGCTACATACTTTAATTGGGGTGGAGTAGAACCAAACGACATTAACGGGCCCGGATCGGAACGATGTGCTTTTATGAACTATTTGGGAAATTACACTTGGTGGGATATAACTTGCTCTGACCACAAACCAGCTGGTTATATTTGTGAACGCTAAATAACCATAATAACTGTTCCACAAGTAGAACTGTTTTCTTGATTCTAAACTGTAAAGACTTGAGGGCACGCTCGTCCGGAGAGCTCTAGTGTAACGGGCCAATTACAAGATATGAAAGGGAGTGAGCTAAATTCGACGCCCCGTGCGGAAATCGAAATGATTGGGTACATGTTTGAGATGATCATGAGTCGTCGCTGTAAAAGTTTAATTACTTGTAAGATTTCAATTTACACCTTTGTAGCAAATAGGCTTTTTACTTATTTGTCAAATCCCAATTTGAATCCCAATTTTTTAGTCAAAACCCTGATTTTCCAATTTTTTTTCATATAATTTCCCGATTTTTCGTTGAAAATCTCAAACACCCACCGATTTCTTGTAAACAACAAAATCGAATTATATTTTGTAAACTTACATTTTTCTTCAAATGTGATTTTAGTAATCCAGATTTTGTCCCAATTTTTCGATTCCGTTTTTGTAACCTCAATTTCCTCCTGATTTTTCACCCTGTTTTTTTAAGTAACTAAATTCAACCCCTACTTTTTGAAAAATTAGGAGTTTCTCGCGTTTTTGTAACCCCGATTTTTCTCCTTATTTTTCGAAACCCTAATTTTCTCCCGATTTCGAAAAAGTATCCTGATTTTTATTTTTGCTTGACAGATATGTACAGTATCTATTAGGGTTGTAGCCAGTATTTAAAATTGGGCTATGCAGAAGTCAGTCTTTGGAAATTTTGGTATCTTTGGACTTCATTGTAACAGTTTAGGAAAACATCTGAAAATGTAAAGCTGTACAACTTTGGCACGGCATCTGGCTACTAAACTATCATGCTATCAGACATAAATCAACCTCTCCAAACTTGATCAATGGGCAACCACTTGGAGAATGCAATTCAAAGCTAAAAAGTGCTGATCTAACCTTTTATGGTCAAAGAACTAAAATAGCAGTCCAGCCTTCATTAACCTAAGGAAAGATCAAAAACCAGCGACATAAGAAAATGATGCAACTGCCTTGTGTAATGGTGATAAACATTATGTTTACTTCAAACGTGTATAGAAAAAGATTATTAGGAAGACCAGGGTGTTTTAAAAATATTTGTACATGGACTGACCAATAGAATATCTATTAACATCAAAAATATTTAAAAAATTAAACTCTTTGATTAGGTGAGAAGTGTGAGACAGTCTTTCCTTATTTAAAGATTATTCAAATTGTTTGGAAACTGTCCGTTTGGAGTAAATGTTTAATGTGATAAAGAGAACCAATGACGCGAGAAATCTGTTTCAACAGATTTAATGTGCTCTTTAATTTTCAGGTTTTTATCATTTATGATTCCAAGAGAGTCAATTTTCCCAGATTCTCATTACGTATTTCGATATTCAGACTTGTTTCATTTCTTTTAGGTCCGAATATAATAGCATTGGTCTTGCCAATGTTAAGTGAAAGTTTGTTTGCATGATCCAGTCATCTATTAAATTCAATCTTGCATTTGTGTTAGTCATGAGTTCATTTGTAGTATAGTCGCTATCCAGTAGATCGGTGTCGTCAGCAAACACATTTACATTTTAGATTTTGGGCAAGAATAGGTAGATCGTTTATATAAAGAATAAATAACAGCGGTCCAAGTACAGAGCCCTGCGGAACACCACAATTTAAAGATGATTGTCTAGGGACGTCATTGTTAATGGTGAGAAACTATTTACCGTCTTTTAAATAATTCTTAACAAGGACTTGGCTATCCCCCTGATGCCATGATATTCAAGTTTTTGGATTAAAATATCAGGATTAATTGTATCAATGGCCTTGGAAAAAATCGAATGTTGTACCAATGCTTGTTTTCCCCGAATCAGTTGATTTACGGGTTTGTTCAATGAAATTGAATCAATTTTTCTATTTAGAAAAACAGAACATGTCTCAAAGCACATTCTAATTATGCATTCAACAATAGAGCAAAAGGTTGAAAAGGTAAGTTGATTAGTCCATTGCCCCATTTAATATCACTTATATTTAATTAGGCCAATATTACTACGTCGAGAAAACTAGCACATAATTTGTAAATGGAGAATCAACGCATATACCTGGAATATGATCCATTCGTCTTTCCAGATATAACTAACAAATAATAGTTTCCATAACTAGAATTTAATTAAGAAATATAGACCGAAGAGCAGGTATTATATCGATGAATAAATACCGCAAGATTAGGCACAAACGGTTTCTATTCGAAGCTTTTGTGCCCAGCCCTAAGGTATTTATTACTAGATATAATACCTGATCTGAGATAGATGTGACGATTCGAACATTACAAATCACCAAAATTTTGCAAAAGGTTCACTTCATTTTCTAGTTTCGGTGCACTGGACGAATCACTCAGTACAGATCAGGTATTGATTGTATCGATGAATAAATACCGGGTGAAGGGGTGAATACAAATAGAAATACAATGCTATGCGTAAATATTTTATCCAGGATCTCAAATTATATTATAAATAAGCGCCTGTAAGAGTGAAATATAAGGTGACAACTTGTACGGTCTGGAATAGTACGCTATGTAGCGTTTGGATTCGGATATTCTTATTCCATAAACTTAAGTTAAATGAGCATGAAATTATTTTATTATTGAAAACAGCATCTTCGAATTCCAAGTGGATATAACACTGAATTTCAATTTGGAGCAACTAAAACCTTGAAAATCAAGAAGAATTTACAGTGTGCCAACAAAAAGCCATTAATCAGGAACGTAGCCAGTATTTGAAATTAGTCAAGGCAAAAGACAGTCAAAAGGATTTTTTTCAAGTTTTAGGAGAAAAACATTCACGGTATTCCTGTACAATTTTGGTGCGGCGTTTGCCTTGACATTGTGTATCAGTGAGTTGGTGTTTTAATGAAATATTATAAACAAATACCATTATTTTAACGTATAACTTACCACCAATAATATGATGTACATTGATGGATAAAGATTGACTTTGCTACATGTATATCTAAATCACAAAAGGGTGTCTAATGGACTGATATTTATCCATTTGTTGAGATTGAGCCTAAAACATCTCGTATTCAAATATTGAGCATGCCAGATATATCATATTTACCCAAATGATCACTTCTGTAAATTAAAGGTGTATTGATTTCTTCGTGTTCTTACTAGTCTGATTGACACTAAAATGCAACAATAGCCTAATGGATCTTTAATAAATCATAACACCTCCAAGTCATTGTAAACAACTTAATATCGTCATGTCGAAGAGGAGGAGGTCGATCATAGTTCATAATCAGCATCCCCCTATCAAAATCATGCAGTTTTTCACCATTCCCATCAATTCCGTGGATCTTTTTCCAAAGTCAAAGCAATTATAACTAATATAAGTGTAAAGTTACAAAATTTTGGGTTTTTAGAATATAACGATTTGACATATGAATTTCAAAGTAAAGTAAATGACATTTTTTGGGTTCGCCAATCCTCCTAATCAAGACAAAATTCATCACAAAGCGAGTTTTCCGAAATTCACACAAAGCTAGGCAATGTGAAAGCCCATGAGCGAACAAAGCACTGAGTCCAGTGAGAGTAAATGGTGATCCATTATGCTTACGATAGGCACTCAGTTCACTCATGTAAAATTTACGAATGTTTAATTTGAGTAAATGACAATAAAAGGGCATTGACATCATTTCTGGTATCATTATTCTGGCAGTTTAGTTCTAAACTCGTGGACGAGTTTTATTGAGCTAAGTGAAACGAATGCAAAGGGTAAACATTCTGATTTCCGACCATCTTTGCCTTGTCGAGAAAACAACAAACTCGAATAAAAATAGTTTTATACTATATGTATTCTTAGAATCTAACCATCCTAATAGAATCAGTCCCATGGAAAACCACCAGCTATATTTTATTCACCTGGACAGCAATATTTTTAAAACGAGAAAAATTCAAATCATACAAAATAGGTATAACATTAATCATTTTAATCAAAAGAGTTTTAATCCATCCAAATAATGCTAATCAAGAGAAAATTATAAACAAATACATGGGATATACATGATATACATGTATGTTCACACTATAAGTACTTTTACTGTAAAATTGGTAAATTTTCCTATCACATTGACACTGATATAATGTACATGTAACATACAAGGTGTATTTTGTTCTTGCTCTATTACATGCAATGATAAAATACACATAAATGATATTTACAAGTATATTGGTATAAAATGAAATGATATAGTTCATTTAGCATACATAACTACATGTAGGCCTTCTTATAATGTAATAGGCAAAAGCCTAGATTTTTCTGCAACAAATCCCACTTTTGGATCGTCGGGGTCAACGTTTACTGAAAAAATGAACCTAGTGTTTTCTCAAAAATAAACCATATTTTAAAATGCCACTACAAGAATTGAAGAAAAACATTTTTATATTCACTGTAAAACACAATAAAAATGCCTCACCCCCTAGCCACCCATTGACTAATAGAAGAAGTCATCAAGGTCGTTAAGCTTTCAATGGAACTTTTCGTTTTGTAGAAACGTTTTCTCTTATAACATTTGAAAATACAATACTCAATTTGTTAATTTTATGATCTTGAATAATACTACATAATACACTGTCAGCATAAAAAAAACAGTTCCAAAAAAGAAAGGTGAGTAAAATTGAAGGACACATTTACCCCAAAACATACAAATAATGAATACTGACAGGGTCTCACCCTGTATGTTTCAGACATATATCACCCTGTAAAACTCTTTTTAATATGTCATATTCTGTTTTCTGCCAAATGCTTAATGCATGTATGGCAATGTATGGGGATTTTCGTGACAATCACATTTGGCAAACACTGCGGCAAAGAATGACATTTATGATAATATTTACAACAATGGTTCTACCTGTTTCCTGAGAATATTCCATGTTCCTTAGGATTGAAGAATGGACTACTGTAACTTGAGTTAATTTGAAGCTAGCTTTATCTTAGAGTTTTTGTTTATTTGAAAAATTTGCTTATTTGACATACGAAGGTCTAAAAGGCTTACTGGGTTAAGACAGATTGTGAATCTGAACTGATGAAAGACAACATATGAAACTGCAGATTTTGAAATATAGT